GATGCTGACAAGACAATATTTTGCTCTCTATAAACTAACAGTAAGACCTCATTGATGAAGACAAGACTCACACACGTCATTGAACATGGAGAAGTCATGCTGCTGCATCCATAGAAATGTTGCCTATGTGTTCTAGTGTCTATGACAAGGAAATATTCTCTGCAGGATACCAAGTGAACACCAACCCTACCATAAAACATTTTATCTATAATCTATCCTCCCTGAAAAATATAATAGAGCAATGGTGGCACAATCATTGTGAAAGTGACCAACTGATAGCTAATTTGACTTAAGACTCAAACCATGACATGGAACCATCCCTGGGGCTCCTATGTTAACCAAGAATTAGAGACTAGACAGCCCAGTGACCTAAGGCAAATCCAAATACTGCTGGTTATTAGTCATATATTACTAATAATGATAGTCTATTCTTCTTATAAATTAGTGTCTTATTCAGTCATCATCAAAGAGGCCTCCTCTAGAAACACATAAGAAAAAGTAGTGCAAATAATAGCTAGATATTATTCAAAAAGAGATAGAGACCTAGGTGTACTTTTCAAAGGAGATATTGAAATGAAGTAGATCTGTATGGCAGAGGAGGTGGAGTGAAACAGAGAGGAATAGGAGGTAGGGAAACTGTATTCAAATAAATAAAAAATATGAAAAAGAAAGCAAACTAAACAAACGACAATGAATAAGCCTGAAAGCATCACTCTTCCATGGCAACCAGCTCAGCTCCTGCCTCCAGGTTTCAGCACTGCATGAATTCCTGATCTGACTTCCTTCTGTGATGGACTATGATATAACAGTATTAGCCAAGAAAAGATTGCACTGTCAAAGAAAGAATGAAAGAAAAAAGAGAGAAGAAAGAAATCAAAACACTTGCCATTTAAGCAAAGAGAGAAATGAATAAGCAAGTAATGGAAGAAACTTCTTCTCTATGCACATGATGCAACATGTGACACCCTATCTGTGGACCATGTGATCAAGGAGAGTTAGATTGTGAAAATATCTCTTCTCAGTATCACTTTGTCTGTACACTAGTCCTTCAGGACTTTTCAATTTTTTAATGCATATTATTTTTTTGTTTACTGGTGTTTGACTGTATATTTTTTGGTTCACCATATGAGTGCAATGCCTCAGAGTCTAGAAGAAGAGAAGTTCTAAGATACTCTGAGACTGGAGTTAGGAAACAATGCTAGCAGTCATTTGTGTTCTGGAAATCAAACTGAGGTTGTGTATTAGAGCTGCTGGTGTTCTTATTAACTGAGCTATCTTGCCAAACTGCTTGCTCAGTATTTTAATGCTATAATTAGATAAAAACCATTTTCCAAGTTAACTCCAACATGGTGTGTGTATGACAGGTGTTGATAACCTGTTGTATAAATGTTGCCATAACTCTGTTACTCTGAAAAAGTATTTTTTATATACATCATGGGATGCATTCATTTGTTTTGAATGATAGGCTTGGGGTAGAGCACACATTTAGGAAAATAAAACAGTTTCTCTGATCCATATTGAAAAAATTCACATTGGCCTTTAACTCCAGGCAAAGAGAAACACTGTCAGTAACTGGTAAGAGCAGAGCAAGCAGCCAGGGAAGCCTGGACTCTCACTTCTGCTTCCCTCGGTGGTTTATGTCATGGCTTGAATCACTGTGGGTGGGTTACTGTAAACCTGTTGACAGTAATATATTGCCACATCCTCAGGCTTCAGGCCACTGCTTTTGAGAGAAAACTGTGTGTCAGATCCACTGCCACTGAACCTCGATGGGATACCATCTGCCAAGCTGTTTGCCGTATAGATCAGGAGCTTAGGAGGTTCTGCTGGTTTCTGCTGATACTATGCTAAAATATTACCAATGTTCTGACTTGACTGGCACGTGATGGTGACAGTCTCCTACAGATGTAGATAACAAGGCTGGAGACTGGGTCATCTGGATATCACTTTTGGCCCCTGAGACTTTAAAATAAGAACACATTTCTACAAAATTAATTCTGCTAAATGCCGACTTTCCCAGAGACCACATAGCACTGACCACAGTCAAATGAATAAATTTCAATTTCTGTCTTCCTTACCCATAAGCTAGAGCAGCAGCAAAACCTCATGTCTGTGCTGGGTGGGAACTGTGTGATGCTGACTCCAGCTTGAGGTACAGCCTGACTATGAAGATATCCTCAGGGCAGTGGGCTGGGCTCTGGGAACATGCAAATCATGAATGACTTATTGGTTTATCATTGATTTAATAAATCACTGATACAGTAAGGCTTTTGTTTCATGTATATGTCAGCTCACAGGCGGTACAGCTTTATTCGTAGAGAATGTGCTCCTCATGGAAAATAAAGACAGAACCAGCCTGTGATTTGTACCTCATTTTGATTGCTGTTATAAGCAATGTAGAATTTCCTTATTATTGTCCCTCCTTGAGAGGGAATGTGAGATAAAGTATATTCTGCGGAGTACATACATGTTTTCAGGTGCTTTCATAGGTAGACCCAGATGTTATGGATTTCATGAAGCTTATTCTGTTGCTTTATTTGTTTATTTGTGAGAATGAATTTTTGAAACGCTTTTTATTATATATTTAAATTATAAATGATCTTGTTTCCCACGTCAGTCCCAGCTTCCACTCCCTCCACTCCATGCCCACTCTCCCATACCAGACCCCCTAGCTCCTCACCCAGTTCACACTCAATTTCCCATGGAGGGTAAGGCCCTCCATGAGGGATATATAGAGTCTGTCATTTCTTTCTGGTCAGGGAACCAAAATGTTTTGCCAGGTTTGAGGAATACCAGAGACTAACCCAAGGAGTCTACACTTATGATGCAAAAGCAAAAGGTTTCATTAATCAACCTGCCAGTTTGGATCTCACCCCATGGAGGGGAGATGAGATGAGATGCCCACCAGCCAAAAAGAGACACTCTATATAACTTTTGCTCTGGGGTTATGGACTGTAGGTTGGTTATCCTTTGTTCTATGTCTAACATCCAGTTATGATATACCACATACCATGTTTTCCTTTTTGTGTCTAGGTTGCCTCCCTCAGGATGCTTTCTCCTAGATCTATCCGTTTACCTGCAATTTTCAAGATGTCATTTCTTTCTTTTTAACACTGGGTAGTACCTATTTTATATATGTACCATATTTTCTTTATCCATTATTTGCTTCATAAACATCTAGAATGGCTGACTACAGAATGGGAATATATCTTCACCAGTCCCACATCTGGCAGAGAGCTGATCTGCAAAATGTATAAAGAACTCAACAAACAAAACACCAAAACACCAAATAATCCAATTAAAATATGTTATAGATCTAAATAGAGAATTCACAACAGATGAATTTCAAATGGCCAAAAGTCCCTTATAGATTTGGACAAACTCCTTAGCCATCAAGGAAATCCATGTGAAAAAAATCTCTGAGATATCATCTTACACCTGTTAGAATGGCTACAATTAAAAACCATGACAACTTATGCTGGGGAAGATGTGGCAATGAGGACTATTCCCCAATTACTGGCCAATTCACATACACACAAATACGTGCAAATATATAAACAAAACTTTTATAAGTCCATTTATTAGTCCTCTGATGCATTATTGATTTCTATCTATTTTATTTTATTTTTTATTTAAATTAGAAACAATCTTGCTTCACATGTCAATCCCGGCTCTCTCTCCCTCCTCTCCTCCATTACCCCCAACTAGCACCCTCAGCCCCCAACCTAATCACCACTCTGTTCCCCAGGGAGTGTGCGGACATCCAATGGGAATCTCAAGCATCTGTCGTTTCATTCAGGGCAGGACCTAGGCACTCCCCCAAGAGTCCAGGCTGAGAGAGCATCTCTCATTGTGGGATGGACATTCCTGGTTTCTTCATTAGTGGTTTGTTACAACGATTTGTAATAAGAATAGTCAGATAGTTCAATTTATGTCTCTCTTGAAATATTTTTGGAGAGAAAAACATTTCAAGTATAAATTACCAGTAAAAGTTCAGAGGATAATAAGGTCTATTTTGGAACAAAAATCAGAAGACAGAGGAGGATGGATAATCTTTTTACTAAGAAGATAGGGGATGTCATTTCTAGTATGTGACAAACTTGAAGGAGAATAATCAACCAGAGAAGATCCTGAGATGAATGAAGTTATTTGAGACTACATGAAAAAGTTTTTGGAGACCTCCAGTGAAGTGACTACGTGGGGGATTCAGCAACACTTTCCTTCAACATACAGCAAAAACAGGGAATAAAAAACTGTTTTACTTGAGGGTAGCACTGGAGTGCAGTTAGATATTGAATGCATTAAGTCACCCAAAGACACAACTGGCATTGTAAAGCATACATACAGCAACCTGTATGGACTAATGCATGCTATTATTTGAAACAAACTAGTAAATAAGATGCTTTCCTAAAGTTGTTAGAATCAATGAGACCTGTCATAGTCTCCACTCTAACACTGCATATACTAGTTCTCTACAAAAGTAGCTTATTTACATTGTTCTTCTGACTCACTTGTAATGTCTTCCCCGTCCAAGATACTGGAAAATTTCAATTTCTCCACAGGCATGAGAAAATATCAAAGTAACCAAATTACACTGCTGAAAACACTCTGATGCACCTGTTCTAAATATGCCTTACTCATGAAAGCTGGAAAATCTTCCAGGCTGGACGCTCAACACATTATTAGGTGAATAAGCCTCACATGCCCAGAACCCAAAGCTAATGGGACACCTGTAAGCTCACGTTTTCAACACTTATCCAATCTCAGTCAATGCAACAATGTAACATACAAGCAACAATTCCAGGAGAAAGTTTTTCATCACTAAAATCAACAAATACAATTGATAGAGGTAAAATAATGTACCGGATTTGCATAAATAGTTCATGCAAATAAACTTTTACTTACATTAAAAGTAAGAAGCATATACACACATATACATGCCCACATATATACATATGATATAAAGCCTCCACTGAAGAAAATCTGAGAGGTCCTGCTACATATCATTAAAAACTTTAGCCTTCTTTATTCTTTAGGAGGAAGTAGCTGGACTCTATGCAGGTTAAGGGTTTTTGTTCCAGTCTATAGCACTGTGGGCATGGGTAAGTATCCGACTGTTGACAGAAGTAAGTGGCAGCATCTTCAGCCTGTACACTGCTGATTGCCAGATAATAGGAAGTCCCAGACCCACTGCCACTGAAGCGGTTTGGCACTCCGGAAGCCAGGTTGGATGTTCTGTAAATCAGGAGTTTAGGGGAATCTCCAGGCTTCTGTTGGTACCAGTGCAAATAGCTGGTGCTTACACTTGAGCTGGCACTACAGCTGATGGTAACCGTCTCCCCATGAGATGCAGCCTTGGATGCTGGAGACTGGGTAAGCACAATTTCTCCCCAGGTCACTATGATCAGGATAAGAAAGGAAAGAGAGCAACGTTAGTAGATACAGATATATACAAATAATTTGACATTATCCAACATTTAGAAGACAAAAAATGAAAGGCAATTTACCTTATACTAAATTATATTGGGTTCTGAACTCAGAGGCTGCCTTACCTGTGACACTGAGTAGCATAAAACTGAAGATCTGCACCCAAAAATCCATTGTGTTTTCTAATCTCAATCTCACGCTAATTACTACTCATCTGAAAAGTACATTACTTGTAAGCCACTGTGAGATGGTTGTGGTTTCTGAGGTTGAAATATGCAAATAACAAGATGTGTTATAGACAGCTCTTGGCTTATAAACCCCTGTAGACCTGTATATTTAAGGCAAACCTGGGTAACTCATAGCATTGTCTACATATTTATATTTATTACACTGACCACAAAGGACATTTCTTTGTTTTTCTTTTCATCTCTTCTGGTGAATAGTTCTGACCCAGAGTATTGCCCATGCATTTCTGTGAAGCCTGGTTTAATTTTATCTTCTAAGCTGTTTTAGGATTATTTTTCTCATGATAAAGGTGTGTTGAGATTGATTGTTTATAATGCACCTCAAGAAAATTTAGGCACATTATATGCTTCCTTGTTTCCTGGAAGCTACTCAGCAGATACCTTCTTTGATCATCCAATCTTAACTTGTATGTTAACTCATTTTCCTCCAATCAGATATGGGACTACGTATACAACAAATTGACAGAGGGCAATGGGTCCATTGAATCAGAGAATACTGTTTCTAGATGGCAGTTCAGGGAGAGACTTGTTCCCCTCTTATGATGACCCTGGACTTGGTGGATATCCAGGTTTAATGTATTAATTTTTGGTATGGTCAGTGCCATTAAAACTCTAAACAAAATGAACAAAATCTTGGGGATCTTATGGAGGAAAGTGGATTAAGAAACTAGGGACTTCCTGTTTTCTAATGTGACAGTGGTTTTAGGTCAGTCACATGAACTAGATAGAAAATGTTTTTGGTATGCCCTCTTCTGGTAAGGTGGTGGAAATAATGTTTGGTATTGTCCATTTTGCAATATAAAGGAAAAGACGCGTTCATGAACTTCCACTGAGTAGTACTCCATTGTGCAAATGTATGGCATTTTCTTTATTCATTCTTTGGATGAGGGGCATCTACATTGCTTCCAGGTTCTGGCTATTATAAATAATTCTGCTATGAACTTAGTTGAACAGATCTCCTTGTGGTATTAATGTACTTTCTTTGGGTATATGCTTAAGGGTGGAATTGCTGGATCTTGAATTAGACTGATTCCCATTTTTCTGAGAAATTACCAAACTGATTTCCAAATTGTCTGTACCAATTTTCACTTTCACCATCAGTGGAGGAATGTTGCCCTTTCTCCAAATCCTCTCCAGCATAAACTGTCAATGGTGCTATTTTAGCCATTCCACCAGCTGTAAAATGGTATCTCAGAGTTGTTTTAAGGTGCATTTCCCTGATGGCTAAGAATGTTGAGCAATTTCTTAAGTTTCTTTTAGCCATTTTAGATTCCTCTATTGAGAATTCTCTGTTTACTCCTCTATACCACTTTTTAATTGAAGTATTTTGTGTTTTGGGTACCTTCCACTTTCTCTTCTAAGTGGTTCAGTTTGTCTGCATTTATGTTGAGGACTTTGATTCCTTTGGACTTAAGTTTGGGAAGTGTGATAGATATGGATCTCTCTGCAATCTTCTACATGTCATCATCCAGTTGTACCAGCACCATTTGTTGAAGATGCGTTCTTTGTTCCTTTGTGTAATTTTGGATTCTTTGTCAAAATTCAGGTGTTTGTAGGTGCATGAATTAATGTCAGCATTTTCACTTTGATTCCATTAGTCTATCTGTCTGTTTTTGTGCCAACACTAAGCTGTTTTCATTACTATAGCTCAGTAGTAGAGCTTAAAGTCAGGGATCTTGAAATTTGCAGGTAAATGGATGGAACTAGAAGAAACCATCCTGATTGAGGTAACCCAGTCACAGAAAGACAAACATGTTGCAGTGTTTCCCACCTGTTTCTGCAGATACCTTGCCCCAAATGAACACTCAGAGACTTGCATTACTTATAATACTGTTGGCTAATGACTAGGGCCCCTTATTGACTAACTTTGGCATAATTATTGTCCTATAACTACTAAGCTATATATTTCAACATGGTCTTAGCTTAGGGGAGAATGCTGGGTTTGGGATTCCTTTGTATGCTACATTGCGACTGTTTTCTCTTACATTTCCCAGCATTCTCATCTGCTAGACATGCCTAACTTGTTGCCTATTGGCTGACAGTGTTTTATTCATTAACTGATAAGAAAATATATACATAAGGAAAATCTCCATCACAAACATGGTATGTACTCACTTATATATGCATATTAGACATAGAACAAAGAAATAAGAGCTTACCAGACTACAATTCACACTTCAGAAAGCCAAGGAATCAACAAAGACCATAAGAGAGACATACATGGTCTGTGGGGGAAGGGAAATGTGACAAGAACTTGTTAAAAAATTAGGAGCATGGGGGGAAGGGGAGAGATGTAGGAGAAGGAGCAGGGGAGGATGGGGGAGGAAAGCATGAGGGATCATGAAGATTGAGTTGGGGGAAGAATAGATGAGAGGTGATGTTGTCAGAAGTGTGATCATGAATTTGCAGGTAAAATGACAAAAGTTTAAAAGAAATTTTAGAAACAAAAGAATGGGGAGAAGCACAGCTTCTTGGTAGCAGCATTTTCTCAGGTGGGCTCTGTTTTGCTGGAGACAAGCAGAGTCTCACATGGCTCACTTAAAGGAGTCTTCCTGACTCAGCATAAGCAAAAGAAAAAAAAACAGCAAGGTTCTTTTAAGAGGCTCTGCTAACAATTGAAAAGTGTGTACTTACAGCTGGAAGTGGCAGTGACCACATCTCCAAGCCGGCAGCTTTTGCTGGATGTCAGCATAGACTGAGTCATGAGCTGGAGTCAAACTTATGCCTGCCATGTTGGAAAGCCAGCGACTGTTTACACTTTAATTTTAGCAGTGTTATTTAGCCTATATAGGACACATGGCCAGAAAAACAAAGTTTTACAGTAAAGTCAGATTCAGATAAAGAAAAATATACATAGACTTGGGAGAGTAAAAGAAACAAGATATTGGAAAAACTAAAAATAAATAAAGTAGCTGGGTGTGGTGGCACATGCCTTTAATCCCAGCACTGGGGAGGAAAACAAACAAAGAGAGTAGCTGGGTGTAGTGGCACACAACTTTAATCCCAGCACTCCTGGGGCAGAGGCAGGTAGATGGCCAAAGAGATACCCTGTCTCAGAGAAAAAAATAAATAAAATAAAAGAAATAGAGTAATATAAGCCATGTAAAGTTGGAAAGTACACAGAGAGAGACTGGATACTGTATGCTATTGTGTTTTTCAGTTTTTTGATTGCTAAAGAAGGAAAAACTCCTAAAGTAAACTTGATTATGAATGCTGCTGAATTAATCCAACTTATATATTTCAAAAATGCTTTCACTTCTAACTTTAAATGTAAGGACCAGTTACTGTTTATGTTTCTACAGAAAATGGAAAGGTGGGGATTCCTTCCAGGCTTCTGTGGTTTGAAGAACCAAGACCCCTGGAAGCAGTGGGCCAGGTGTCCCAACAACTAAGACAGCTGAGATGATGCAGCCTTACAGATCATGAAAATAAGGACTTATACAGGTTTCTGAGCTTTGTCATGATCTCCATGGTATGAAAATTGCCCGCATGCAGCAGGAAGCAGTTTTTAATCAGTGACATCCAAATCCCCATATTGTTTATAAATCATTTAAATAGGGCTGCTTATAATTTGTTAATGACCAATGCCAATCTCTTTTTAAAAGAAAAAGGTGAATTATGGTATGGAAATAAATACTTTGTATTGGTATGGATTTTCATTTATTGATAAAAATTCAAGGTCAGTTTCCTGATATGTATATTTCTCTTCTTGTTTAAGTATTGTGCTTATACTGATCTTTTAAAACATAAGCAAAATTACATACAGACTATAGATCCTTATAATAGTCAGAACTTATAGGTAGGTAAGTTAGATTTTCTAGATATACAGAGATACATTTGAGATAGACAGTCTTCAAACCTTTAAAAGACCTTCAGAAAATGGCATTTAAAATGGTTTAGGTTTTTTCTTGACAATGAGAATTGTCTGCTCCTGGCAGCACCAATTAAGTCTGAGAGGAAGATAGGCATCAAAGAAACTTGTTACGGAGTTTGCTTTCAACATGGCAAGATTAGCCATTTGAGCAAGTAATGCTCTTGCCTGGACTGCCTGACTGTGGCTGTATAAACAGGACATGCAGAACCCACAAGAAAGTGACTGCTAAACTCAGTCTTTCAGGGTTCCTGTTTCATGGAAGAGTCTGCCAGACTTTCTACAGGACACAGAAAAATGACTGACAGACTGCCAATGCAGATGGACAGTTTGAAATTTCCTGGATTTCTACAGACACACTGTAGCCTATGGGCTGAAGATGGATGCCCCAACATTACAGCAGAACTTCAGGTGACTGTCTAGACAGCAAGATTTCTCTTTCAATTCTAGTTTTTATATATTATCTTTCTGTGGTCTTTGATGGAGTTGAAGGCAGATAACTATAATCATAGTTTTCCTTAGTTATGATAAAAGGTAAGTTACATATAAGACGTTAGACTCACAAAGATAGCATACTTGATTCTTTCTTTAAATCTTACTAAATGTTAATGTACAAAATATTGTAACTATATTCTTACTCAATAACTGTCCTATGTAATTTGAGTTTGTTAAAGTTAAAACCTTTCTTTTTATTTAGACAGAAAAGAGGAGATGATGGGAGATGTGATTCTGAAATCTTTCTCTTATTGGTTGTTGAATAAAGCACTGTTGGCCAATAGGGCAGCAAGATAGAAGGGACTAGGAGTCGAGGACTCTGGGAAGCAGAAACACAAAGAGCCATGATGTAGCCGTCATAGGAGTAAGAAGTTCAGACACTTTTCTCCAGTAAGAGAAATACTTAGATTAACAATTATGGACTAAATACTTAAGTCAGAGCTAGCCAGTAAGAAACCACCAAATGGCCAACAGCTTCATAATTAATATAGCTTCCTGGGTGTGCATTTGGGAGTGATGCGGCTCTAGAACAAGGCTGGTGAGAAGGCTTCTCCCGACAGAGAGGAAGAAAAGATGTATCTTAAAGAGGGAGCCATTAAGGTTTTAAAGAGAAATTTGGAACTAGGGAGATGTCCAGATATCTACAAGAATGGTGGCAAATAAAA